CTTTGACCCCGAATAACTTTTTTAGCACACATGGGATCGATGGGGACTTTTGACACTTTATTCCTAATGGTGTACTCAATATCTCCACCAAAATTTAGCTCTGTCGGAATTTTAGTTATTTAAAATGTTTATTTTGACCGGACTACAACTCGAAAACAAAGCAAAATTCTGTTCTTAATTTTTTTTTATATTACTTTAATTTATATTAATTATAATTTTTTTGGAAACAAATGATTTAAAAAAAAACGCTTGTTTTGATACATTATAAAACGAATTTAAAAGGGAAACACTCTGTAGGATACTAATTTTTTTGAGTCTGGCTTACGAATTACCGGTTGTTTTCTCTTTAAAATATTTTGTAATCAGATCATTTTTCTTAAACTGCGCAATTTTTTACTTGAACTGAATTTTTTTATCGGAAATTTGTGATTTGAAGAAAATATGCACAAATATGCAATATTTCCTAAAATTATAAAATATGCATTTTTTCTTTGGCTTATAAAAAACATTAGATATGCATAGAAAACTTACAATTTTGTTGATATACTTAATAACAAATATGCATTTTGCATATAATCCGAGCCTTAGTTATGAGTAATTAGCTAATCACACTCATTTATTTTTTGTTTTAGGAGAATTGCTCGCAACACTGAATGAATTTGTTTTAAATATTGCATGCGTTTAGGTGTAAGTCGCACTTCTGCGAAAACACACCGTTTTAGCAAAGTTAAACAGGTAATGTACAATCTACTTGAGAAATAATTAATATTCAAAACTTTGACTTTGTTTACGTTATCATCTCGCAAGAGTGCGACACACTGACGTAATAAATGCAGGTTGTTTTGTGTTTTTCCTCCATTTGATGCATCTGTTTTTTTATTTTATTTCTCCGATTTTAACACGGGCGTTAGCGTTTTAAGATTTATTGAATACTTACGGGAGTTGATTGCAATTAAACCCCTACAATTTGTTTGCAGGGAATAAATAATGGCTTTGATGCTTGTCTGCATTGATGAAATGCCAGCCACGTCGATTTTTTAATTGATAAATTGTTTAGTACAAAAACAGTTAATTTAATTAATTTAATTAAGTACATGGATAAGCAACGTAATTAAAAAGGGGAAAACGTGAAAGCATACATTAAATTGTTGCTACACCTAACCACCCTTTTGCTGTTTGGCCCAAAATTTATTTAATACAATATTTAATTGACAGTTTTATATAAAATTAAATAATGATACTACAAAGCTTAATTTAATTTTAATCAAAATTACTTTTTAGTTAAAAAATATTGCTGGATTTTGTAATTATCCAGCATTCAGTGATGAGATTTTAAAACACAAGTTTTAATCTGTAACTGAAATTGATTTGTATGGTTGATAATCCAAAAAAATATTTATTTACTGCCAGATTCCGGTCTGTCCTTGCAAAATATTTGATTAGAGGATTAGTCTTAAAAACCGACGGTGACTTCAAGCGTATATATTGCCCATGATAAGCTTTTGCCAAAGGTCAGAGGTGAAAATTACATTTCTACTTTTGCCTAATTTCTGTTTTCGCTTACAAATTGGCAACGTTTGCTTGGCAGGCTTCGGGATTTATGGACTTAGTTGTCGGGCGTTAGTTTAGGCGATGAGATTAATATTGTAAACAGTTTGGGCATTGTTGGATGTAATCTGCTATCGGGCGGAACATCTTAGGCCAGCAGTAATTCCAAGGGTTACCGGTCATCGTTTTGAGAACTCGGGAATCAGCAGTTTGAATTCCTATTTTTACAAGCAAAATATTTTTTTTGGCTTGTTTTATACGTTAGTACTAGGTAGATAAGTTGATATTTTCATCAGTTTTATTAGTACGCTACCATCTACATTTGTCTCATTTCTCTGAACTGAAAAGCTCAGCGTTAATATTGCGCGTCACATTCTACGTTTTATAAAGTTCCTGCCAATTACACACTTTTTTGTATTTAAGCGAGGAATGTGTATAAAAATTAGGTTTTTCAGTGGATTTTTCTCCGCATTGTTAAAAACTTTTGGTGTTTGAAATTTGAGAGGCGGTTTGTTTCCGAAACGGGCGGAAATTCCAGTCTCTTGTAAATTAAAGCAGACCTTCCATTTCAGAAATGTCGATATCTATGAAGGGTTGGTTGTCTGGAATGGATAACAATCAAAATTTATCTTTGATATCTTGGTTTTCGATGTCATAGTGAGCAAATGTTAAACATAGATTTTGGTGTCGTTGCCGTTAGCAATATTCCGAGACTCTAAGGGAATATTATGTTACGGTTTGTGGGTTTATATGGTGGGAAATAGCTACACAACAGTTTAGATCTTCTCACAACGATCATTCTGTTATTGGTAGAACTAATGGGCACTTAGCATGGAAATGAGTAGCTTTCTGTCACTTTAAAACACAATTAAAACAAAAAAGTCCAATTTATACGGAAATTAAACTTTTTGTTGCTTTAGAAGGAATATCATCATAATTTTTGTGCAAATACTGGACTGAAAACGCTATTTTACCATATAAGCAAGCAGACTTACTACGAATATGGTCATAACAAAAGTAAATGATTCAAAATTTTATAAAGTTTTATATATAAAACAAATAGGAGTTTGTTTTTCAAGCGATATAATTTATCTACCTAATCAAAAAAATATTCTTTTAACAAAAAAAAAGGTTAATGTGAGAGATAATTCAGGTTTTGTTTTTGAATAAGTGATTGTTAAAATTTTTATTTTTAATGATATTTTTTATATTATTTTTCATTGTTCTTTTTCTTTTCATTTACGGTTAATTACATTATTTTTTATCCAGTACTTAATTAGTATTGACTAAAAAAATTAGAACACACTATAATGATAGTGTGTTCTAATTTTTGTAGGAGGTAATATCTAAATTGATTTCATTCTACCAAAATCATTAATTCAGTACAAACAAATCAACTCATGAACATCAAACTAAAGTGCCCTGCTTTCAGTAGGTCCCATACGATTTATTATTCACTTCTTGTGGAGTAAGTTGCTAACTACTTCAGGTCAGAATGATTGAAATAAATGAGCAATTTGACATTCAAAAGGGATCTTTTAGATTTTTAATTTGATACATCAGATATAGAGCTTTCTCTATTTTATACATCCTGGATTATGAAAAACGCCCCAAGCATAACTGCATTATTTTTAAAGATCAATTCTTAGAAAAAAGTTGCACAGTTTATTGTCACCTTTTGGATTTATTGTCATTTTTTGGAATAGATGCTCTATTAATGCTACTTTTTGTTTCGCCGGAAGTGAAATGAATTTAATTTTTTTAAATGGAACACCTTTTATATTTTATTATTTTTGGATTTCTTCTTGTCTTTCAACAAGCTCACTACTTATTATTTATCACTAGCTTTTGTTTTTAGGCAATTTGAAAATTAAATTAAATAAAGCAGGCAGTGGGAAGAATAGTCATTTTATATAAACGACTGATAATAAAACACTTCAGTTTTGATCGAAGAAGTATTATAACGTTTTTGTAAGTATGTAATGAAACTCTGGGCGTTTTTATTAGTTATTTATTTATTAAGGGCATAATTAGGAGATTATGCCATGAAGGAATCTTTAAAGCCCGAGGAACGAGGGCCATAATCGACAATTATGCTCGTGGTACCACATACAACATTTTATGTTTTATTCCATTTTATAATTTCTAAAAGATTCAAACAAATATTTAGAATTCCTTAAAGGAAATCAACTAAAATTTGTGTCCATGCAAATTTTAGTGTTGTGTAGAAAGTTAGCTATTTTGATGTTGTTAAGGTTACTGCGTTTGTTTGAAAAACAATTCATTTTTCGAAATGAACGTTTCTGAATCAGAAAACGTTTATTCAGAAGAAATTTTACAATAATTTGAAACTGCTCACGGAAAATTAATTCCTCATAAAACAAAGGATTTGTAAGTATGTAAAAGAATATGACAAGTTTTGATACCATGATTTGAATAATTAAACCAATCGTTGCTTGCCAGATTTTTGACAGATCTGTGCTATAAAAACTAATTTATGTCCTCATCTGGGGGCGTATAATGATGACTATTGACTAAAATAAAATAAAATAAATTGTATGAATTTTTATTAAGTTTTATTGTTTGGTTCACTTAACGTTTAAATTAGTTATTTATATTTTATTTTAATAATATTTTATTATTATTATTTAATTAAGTGGCATTTTAAAATGTGTGCTTTTTAATTCTTCCGTCTTGTTTTTAAAATTTACATGACGTGAATTGTATGCAACATTTTTATTGAAAACTTCTCTGTATTATGCATTTGTATCTGTGATATTATATTAAGAAGACGCAGTCAGTTTCTTTTTAGAGTCCCTTAAGGATATTGCAATTGTTAAAAGATGAGTTTGCAAAACATCTTAGGTTTAAATCGCAAAATAGAAACAAAAATATTTTTGCAATATTAAAAATTCTGTACATTTTTGTTAAATACAAAGAATGACTGCAGTTCCGTTTTCATTAAAACGAGTGAGGGTAAATGAGCACTGCATTTATTTTTAAATATGTAAAAAGGTATACAATGATGTCTGCTTTTGTTCTGTTCATTTACGATTAGAGTCACACAAAATTTTTAATAAAAATTTACATTAATTTTTAGATTGGATTTAAAGCTTGAGAATGACCCCTTCTGTTTTTTTTTTCATTTCATTACTTATCTACCAATATCACCACAGTTGATCATTGAACTGAAAGTTCCGTTTGCTCACTTTGTTGACGATAGAAACGCAATAACCTATCAATTTATTTAATTGCCTACTGTCCTCGTCGTTGGTAGCAATTGGCTGTATGCTTTTTTGATCATATCTTTCTTTTGGGGATAGCAATTATAGTTCACGGTTGTCTCAGGTACACATTGCAATGATTTGGAATAAATTACCGATGATAAAGCTGGTTCAACGATCTTGTCTTTTAGCACATGTTGATCAGTGATGTTAGCGCAGACGCGGGCCCGGAGCCCGACCAGAGCCGCTCCGGGAACAGTCAAAGATTCGCTGCCAACCTGTTGGTTCCAGTAGTGTAGCTTAGAACAGTTAATGACTTGGCTTTCACATCTCGCCACTGACCATTTTTCCGGGGAGCAACTTACGGGTAAGTTGACATTTTCAGACTCAATCCCGGTTTTTTTCACCGAATTAAATATTATTTTTAACGTAATTTTTGCAACTCTCGTCATTGCACTGAAACGCATCTCCACTAAGATTTGTTTTTCTTTCTAATTTCTTTACACAATTTTTTTATTTCATTATAAAAATTGTTACAAAAATGTTATTAAGCTCATTGAAGATATGATTCAGTGTCAACTTCTGGGAATTAAATGATTGGGTTATCATATCTATTTTATCAATATAGTGACAAATGCTTGGTGATAAATGAAACTCGAGTATTCACTTTATCGAGCAAAAATTTTTTTTCAGGTTTAGTCAAAACACATGAAATTATTATTTTTGTTCGCGCTAAACAGCGGCTGCCGTTAAAACGACATTTTTTATGCATAAGTTCAAACCAGAGGAACGGAAGTGTTTGCTGACATTTTAAATATTCAGCGCTTACAGAATGTTTTGATAAAACGAACAAAATACAAAAACTGAAAGCCTAAGGCTTGAAAAAATATAGATAAACGTCACTATTACAAAAACATGAAATTACATTTCACTAGTATTCTGTCAGCATGAAGTAAAATAAATTGCTTATTGAACTAGCGCTTTGTTGAGTGCTTCTAAATGGGTATACACTGCGTTGTAATAATAATTGAATACACATTCAAAGAGCAATGATTCTATCGGAATTATTTGACACTTTTCGTCGAAAGAAAAATAATGTTTTAAATTATGAGCTAATTATGTTAGTAACTGTTAAAAAGTGTTGGACTTTTGTAAAGTTGTATTTAAGTCTTCTACGTTTTAATGCTGACACCTGCTATATATACCCTCATTAATAAGCTTCAGGCATTAAGACCGCTTTCATAGTATCGCAATAAATCTTGCGGAATTACAAATTATCTGAGAATAAATCGGTACTAAAAGCTGAATCAGAAAAGCAGTAACAGAAATGATTTCTATGCATTTTCTTTAAAAAAGCTTAACTTTTTGAGTTTACATAATCATTGTGTTAACAGGACGTTAACATTTCTTTAATTACCTGATTAACACAATGGAATACATGTTACTACTGTGGCCTTTCAAAAAAAGGTGCTTAATAATGTGTTTACGAGAGCTTTAAGTTCAAAACTCAACGCAATCAAATCTAAGAGAATAAATTAAGTTTGAATATTTTAATACAGATTTATACTCTTGGCTTTTTATTGAATTTAAAGAGTTTAAGACAATATTTATTCGAAAAGATTGTCTTTGTTAAAAGCTACGCAACTTAAAAGTAATTTAATTATCTGTAAGTATGCTGTAAAAGCTTAATGATCTCAAGAATGTAAGCCAACTTTCAGCGGTTTATAAAAGTTTAAAATTCTCATCGCTCATTTTCACCACCAATAATTAATAATGTTTTGTAAGATTCCATTCAAATCATTATAACAATTTTTGTTTTTGATGTGATTAGCCAGGTTTTGGATCTAATACCCACGCAAATGCTTGACTGTTTTATGCAGGAGATGTAATGAGCTGCATATAAGTTTTAAAGACGTTATTACTAATGCAGAACTGGTGTATTATGACGTCGGTAAAAGGAACTTACGTTGAAACTTTATGCTTCAGCTGAAGAAGCTTCAAGTTTTATATGTTAATATTTTTTTAGTTTCATGTTGCTCTATTTTTAGTAGTCAAACATCTCTGAAACTCTATTGTTGAGAGACGATCGAGGTGTGTGTGACATGTAATTAGTGAGACAGAGTATTTTAAAAGCTTTGTTTGCTCAACTTTGAGCAATTAAAGTATAGCAGGTGGAGTGAAACCGTCAATAAAGTTGAGTCATTGTATTTAGTACCCCTATCCTCTGTATTTAATGAAATAAATTTATTATTTATACTTTGTAACTAGGACACTTAATAAAACAAAAATCGTTTCATTTCCGTTCAATCCGATATTAAATTTAATTTTGCAAAGTGAATGATAATCATCGCTTTGTATCGACTATACCTTCTTAAAACTGTTTCTAAGATAATTACAAATTATTTTGTAAGCTTCTCTACGCATTCGAATTTCTCAGTTCTGCCTTTAATTTGACAATTCGTAACAGTATAATTTATCTGAGTCAATCTGTTTGTTGCGGATTGTTTTACCAAGTTACACAGAAAACGCAGAGATGATGTAATTAAAACGTCTAATTTAACAGAGACTCCAACAAATTTAATATTTCAACATTTTTATAAAACAATATGGAGCTCAATTAAACTTTTTCACTACAACAGACTTTTTTCGTTTTCACTTGGATATAAAACAAAAAGTAATTACTGGTTTGTACAACAGTGTAACCCGAATATGTCACTTCAATTTTCTAATTCATCACATTTCCTTCAATAAAATTACATTCCCGTGTTCAGCGACTAGTGTGCAATTATTCTACTCACTTTCTGGACTTTAACTTTTGAAGATTATGATTATTACGAAACTTAAAAAACTTTGCCTAATTTCGCCTGATTTCAAATACGATGGCAACTATTTATTTAGACTACTAAGTTTTAAAAATTGTATTTAGATTTTTTAATTATAAATCAATATCTTTTTTATTGTGGACAACATATACTATTATCACAATTTTAATATTTTTAAACGGAAAATTTAATTTAGTAATTTATTTTTTGCAAAAAGATTGATGAAATGTATATTTTTAAGTTAAATTAAAAAAAGAAGTAAAAATAAAATTGTGCAATTCTGCACCTGATGAATTCTACTAGTAGTTTAAATTAAAGCACTTATTATTTTCACCATGCAATCAATTTTTGATCAAAATGGCTTTATGACTTTCAAATTAATTTCGCAACATTGACCGGTATATAGACAGAAGTTGAAAATTTTCTGAATTATATAGAGACAGAAAATTTTCATCTTTTGTCTCTAAATGATTCATTTTTGTAAACTTAACTTAATCATAGACAACTTTGAGTAGAATTTTAATTAAAATGCTTGGTGTTACAAGCTTTAATAAAAAGAAAACTTTTTTTGGTTGAAGAACTACCAGTATTTTATTAGAGTTGTCATATTCTTTCTTCTACAAGTTTTCCAATGTTTGAATAAAACCCTCTGCAAAGTTAAGCCCAACTTCGTAATGCTTGAAACGTTTTTGTCTTTGACGACTTTTAAGGGAAACAATTATAAAGTAATAATAATTATTTTTTTATTATTTTTGTTGCAACGTTTTCAATCAAAACCTTTATTTATTTTGAAACTAAATTATACAATGCAGTATTCGTCATAGTAGGACAAATTATGTTGTTTCATTTTGTTTCATTACTCTAGACCAATTCACACTGCATAATTGAAACAATTACATTGCGGCTTACAGTACTTTGCAGTTTACCTATAATTAGTTGGAATTGGTTTTATACATTTTTGATAAAAACAATTTTATCGCGTGATATTTGTGTCAATATTGTCTGCCATGTTCTCCCTAATTTAGATTATGTTTTACATAGAAATATCACATATCTATGCATTGAAACAAAAATCATATTTCTAGCAATAAACTGATTTATTTTGATGGTGAAGTTTTAAGTGCCAGACTCAGATTATTTTTTTATAAAGGTATATCAGCGCCTCGTTTTATTTACTATACGGACGTTTGAACTTTTGAAGTTATATTGAAAATTTTGTGAAAGTTTCCAGTTGTAGCAACTCCACTGACCTTTTAAACTTTGCAGCCTCAATATTTTATGGTTTAATAACGCAAAGCTTTACCGAGTCTACAGATCAAGATAATTATTGTGAGTTGTGAGTATAAACATGAAAACGTTTCAATTGCCGTTTGCTATAAATTGCGAATTGTCTAAATCTAATTTAAAGATACCCAAATCTACCACCTAAATGGCTTAATTAAGATTTTTAATTACTTTGCGGAGGAACGGGTGGGTAACAAATTAGACACATTTTCTGTTAAATACTCAGAGGTAACTTATTTGCATCGCAATGAAATTTATTGTGAGTAAATTCTTTAATTACTTTTTATACGGACATAAATTAGGATAAAGCAGTAGGTGCTCTAAAATTGCTTTAAAACGGGATGTTCTATTATTAGATAAATAATTGTAATGGTGAGTTTTATACTGCACCGTTAAACTTCACGCAAATTAATAATTTCATCACCAACCCACGTACACTTAATTTAATATCATTTTGGCCAATTTAATTATCCTTAGCGTAAAATTACTAAATATTAACTAAATCTAATAGACTTCCTTTTATTTAAGACCAATAAAAGAACTCTCTTCACTGCCCTAAGATTTTTAAAATAATGGATAAAGTCTTTCGAATTGCACCACATAACGTTAAATTTTTCATATTAATAAGAATAAAAAAATAAAAAATTGCCTTTTATGGAAGTACTTACTAAATAACTAAAATCTTTTGCATAGTGTTTTTTTGTAACACCACTGATGGTTTAGTTCAATCATCTGTTATTTTTTATAAGAAGATTTAAATCAAATTTATATTAAAATATTTTTATTTAAGAGTTTTTTATAAATGTTTAATTTTCTAATTTAGAATTTGTATTTACTTATTTACAATTATTTTATTCGAGTTGAAAATCATTTTGAAAACCGTTTCTTGGAGTAAGTTGTTTCGAGGCGAATAGGTACGACAGGAATATTTAGTAGTAATAATTTTTAGTAATAGTAAATTTAGTAATTTCGTTTCAATACTTTTGTATTTCTGTTGTAAAATAGAAAATGGGGCTAAAAGTTCCGTTTAGGTGAGACTGATTGTTCTCCTATTCGTGTGTAGAAGTTTGTAAACATTTTATGTTGTTATAATAAGATACCAAACTACAATAGCAGAACACAAAGAGATACAACCTCCGACCGACGAACTTTCACAGCGAGCAGCAGAGATCAAAGAAGGCAAAAAAAACTGTTGCGAGAGAACTTGAAATGTGCTGTATGATGTTATAACGAAAAAAACAGACTAAAAAACGATAAGAAG